ATGGTGTTGCATCACAGTTATCAAACGATATTTAGTTTGCCCAAAACTCGAGAATCCAGTGCAGAAAGTTGCCTGAAATGAAGATTGTCCTAGTTTTTTTAGTTTTTACAGTGTACTATTTGGAAAGGCTTTTTTACTTAGTTACTTCCAACCTCTGCCTACCAGGTATCCATGTTTGTTTTTAAAGTATCAATTAAAGGGTTTGCCAGCTGAAAAGTATACAGGTACTGGTAGGCTCACTTCAAGTGTTCCTTTGACTTGATGTTGGATGTAATGTCTCCAAATGTGCATATAATATATCAGTGTGTGTATGTGTGTGTGTGTGTGTGTGTGTGTGAGTACCAGAGAGAGGGAGCGTCTCTCCAGGCTGCTCTTTTCACTGCTCTTCACACTGCTCTTCAAGCTGCTCTTCACGCTGCTTTTCCTGGACTCCATGGTGAAGCTCCGCCTCTCTGAGGAGTTTGACCTCCGCGACCCCCGCGGCCCCGACAGGGCCCCGAGCTCCAGGTGCCCGTTGGGGGTCAGCGTGCAGATCCTGGGGTCTGGAGGTATAACAGAGATTACACGTTGAATACATATTTTATTGTTTTTTGTGCCATCCATCTAATGTTGCAGCTGCAGCTAACTTCTTGTGTAAATGTAAATAATTGTATCTATTTCATTTTTAGGGATTTTTAAATTGGATTAAAATCGTTTTTTATTTTATTTTTTACTTCTTACGTTAATACAATAACTTTTATTATATGTGTTTTGTTTTTTACAACCCAGACACTTTATAAAGCTTCAGACAGCTGCTCGTGACTTTAACATGTATTTTAAGGCTCCAGTCAGTGGGAAGGATAAATGAAAAAAAAACATCTGCAAAGATAGCCGTTTGGGAGACATTTAATCCTGATTAATGTCTAAAGATATTAAATGTTAGAAACGGGCGGGATGATGGTGCCAAAATCCACCCCAGCTGAGGGTTCTCCACGAAAGAAGAAGTTGAAATCACTTCGTAAGCTTATTAGGCTAAAAGAAGGCTTTAAAAAAAATGTAGAGAGGTGGAGAATGAACACTCACTGCCCACACAGAAAAAGTACAAGACAAGAAGCAAAGGTAATGAGTATGTGTGTGAAGGTGGACATTAAAACACCTCATTGTAATCCCATCCACTGTAAGGAGGAGCGGGATTTTATATCTGCCAACACTGCAGAGATCCTGTCACACTGTAGAGAAGTTTCTAGACTATTGTTAAATCCTCTGAACTCACCACCGCTAAGCTAAAGGTGGCTAATATTGGGCTATAAAGGAACTACAGCACGGTCACATGACTTCACGTCACCACCGCTAAGCTAAAGGCGGCTAATGTTGGGCTATAAAGTTACTACAGAACGGTCACATGACTTCACGTCACCACCGCTAAGCTAAAGGTGGCTAATGTTGGGCTATAAAGGAACTACAGAACGGTCACTGATGTAAACAAGACGAAAGTCTTTCTCTGGTCTGCATCCCCTTAACAATTGTATGTTTTGAGCTGTACTGTACTGTACCCAATATACAAGCTGTTAATACACTTTTCAATCAATCAATCAATCACATGACTTCACGTCACCACCGCTAAGCTAAAGGTGGCTAATGTTGGGCTATAAAGGAACTACAGCACGGTCACATGACTTCACGTCACCACCGCTAAGCTAAAGGCGGCTAATGTTGGGCTATAAAGGAACTACAGCACGGTCACATGACTTCACGTCACCACCGCTAAGCTAAAGGCAGCTAATGTTGGGCTATAAAGGAACTACAGCACGGTCACATGACTTCACGTCACCACCGCTAAGCTAAAGGTGGCTAATGTTGGGTTATAAAGGAACTACAGCACGGTCACATGACTTCACGTCACCACCGCTAAGCTAAAGGTGGCTAATGTTGGGCTCTAAAGGAACTACAGCACGGTCACATGACTTCACGTCACCACCGCTAAGCTAAAGGTGGCTAATGTTGGGTTATAAAGGAACTACAGCACGGTCACATGACTTCACGTCACCACCGCTAAGCTAAAGGTGGCTAATCTTGGGCATGAACAACTTCAAAATGAGGCAACAGGAAGTGCTAAAATGCTAACTTCTTTCATGATTATTATTAGTATAATAGTATTCCCATCCACTGTAAAGAGGAGCAGACTGCAGGGTTTTATATCTGCCAACACTGCAGAGATCCTCTCCTCTGCAGCATCTCTCACAATGTTCCTGAACATTTGTTGAGTCCTCTGTGCCGTTATCTGCTTCTATTGAGAAGTGAGCTGGGTACGATTCATTGTGAGCGCTGGATAAAGACAAATATCATTCATATTTAAAGACTATTTACAAGCCTTTGGGCACATATTCCTGTCTCACGTTAGTTTTGTTTGGGTAAACAACATGAATAAGCATTGCTAGAAACTGAAAACTGTGAGTAAATGTGAGATGCAAGCAGATTCTGTGATTTCAATTTGGTTTAAGCGGGGAAAAACACCCAGGTACAGACTTGTGGATGTGGTTTTAAAATCTTAAAATCACACATTTTGAGTAATTTTCAGCACCCCTAACACACTATACTAATACTTTTGCTTTTAAAGGCACTTAATAAGTCACTGTTGTAATTGAAATCCTCCAGGGTTCATATTCCTTATATTTGTCCATCAAAGTCAATGTTCAATTTTCATTTGTGAATTGTCTGTATTATAATGAATCATGTTGGTTATTCTGTAGAAATTACAACTTCAGGTCATATCCTCAGATATTTTTTTGGGAGGTTTCATAAATGTTTGACTTCTTTATGTTTTTTTAGGATACTTTTACTTAATTTAATCCAGGGTTTACGAACATAGGGTATACTGCACATATTAAAGAGACCCTTGAGAAAATGGGTGTAATCGGGCTATATACGCAACCCAGTCTCACGGCATTTCGTGTTCACCAACACGATTTTTAATCTATTGATTCGTGTTCACCAACACGATTTGCCCCTTTTTTTCGTGTTGCACAGCACGATTTTAAAAGCAATGTATTTCTACTGCCTGCAGCACGTCTTTTTCTCCGGTCGGGTCCAGGAAGACCGGAAGCTGTGTGTTTCATAAAAACATGTTCTTATTCAATATCAAGCCACAATTATTGCTTTTATTTGAAATCGTATAATTTCGGACTTTTGTTTCCGTCTGTGAGGAAAATAAATGGGGCTCAGAGCCTCAGAATACGGAAATCTGTATTTTTCAATATTTGTTTCCTTCTAATTCGTTATTCTTTTCAAAATAACACAATGTTATTGACTCACCAATAACACACAATTATCCTTGCTTTTATTTATTGGTTTAATTCCATAATCTCTGGCTTTTTTGGCGTCCGTCAGGAACTGAATTTCAAAATAAAAATATCCGGAAACAGACATAGGCCTATTAGGGACATTTCGAGCATCATTGCGATTGTCAACATTTCTGAGTTTAGGATGGCCGAAGACACTACACTACCCATAATCCACAGCTATCGTTTAGGACTACAGTCCCCGTAAGGTTACGCAGAGCGTCAAACAGCTGTGTGAAATGGAACGAAACCACGCCAGACTATCCAAAACTGGAATCGAACGCCCCCCCAGAACTACACATGCTGGCTATTGTGTTTCGCAAAATGTTCTATGGGACGTCTCGACTGAACGTTTTCGTTTTTCCCACAATTAGAAGTTGTCAGTATTAAACACATTGGTGTTATCAAATGTAAAACATATAATTCATAAATGGGTGAAAAGCGCTTGTGTCCATAATGCGCAGCATTAATACCCACATGACAGCTCATTGTTACTTTGTAATTCTACTCCACTACAATTCAGAGGTTAACCTGGTATTTTTACTCCACTGCATTTATTTGAGTTACTTTGCAGATTCTGATTAATGATGTGAAATATAAACAACCCTTAAATCAGACTTTAGTTACACCTGAGTAAAATTCAGGTAAGGTGATTGTCAAGTGCCAACAATCAGGAGAGATATTTGATAGTTGGTGCTTGAGAAGACTAAACATGTATCTGCAATTGACATGAATGGAAACGAGTAATAAAGTATATTCATTACTCGTTATTCTCTACTAATAGTTAATTAAAGACTGTATATTATGGCTATTTTGCACTACCCTTTCAAGATTTTCAAAGGTGTATTGACATATCATATACACAACTACGGTGTAGTTATGCAATGAATGAAACACTTGGGTCACAGGTTCCTCAACAGCGCATTACAAGACATCTATCAATATGTGTGAACCTCCACCATCAAACTGTCATATTCTGCACATTTCTTATTCTATCTACATACATACGAGTATAATCCATATGTATAATATCAGTTAAAATAAGTAGGGGTGCACCGAATGGGAAATTCTTGGCCGAAACCGATACCGAAAATAGGAAACAGTTGGCATAAAACCGAATGCCGAAAGGCCGAAAATGATTAATAGAAATATATATATATAATGTATACATGTTTTACCAATGTTGTTCAGCTACCTGATTATGGAAATAGACATGATTATGGCAAAACTTAACTTAAATAATAATCACTATTATGGGTCCATAAAACATTTATTCAGCACTTTTGAATGCATACAGTACATTTATATATTTCATGTATTATTGCTAAAAAACATGATATCGCAGTCTTAGTGTCGCCAACTCGTTTCTAATATGCAAAGACAACAAATGCGTCTATGATGTATTTTCGATCAGACGAGATCTCTCCCCCCCGTCTGTGTGCGAGGGGGCGGGGCAGTTTACACACACGCAGCTGCTACATGCAGCGGAGCACACTGCGGAGATGGCGGAGAGAACGCGCTCCGAGGTGTGGTTAAACTTTACCCGTCTCGATGTGGAGAATACTTGTTACCATAAGTGCAATAAGAGTTTAGCATGTAAGCACGAGCAATTTGTCTAAACATTTAGCAAAAGTGCACCGCAGACGGAGGAATGCACCGGGTTCGACCGTCTTTCTAGCAGCTCTGTAGCCCCATCCAGGAGTAACGTTTCCACGTCAGGTGTTATGTATGCTAGCAGCAACACACGGAGTTAACTACATGATACAAACATGGGTTAATGATTAGAGGAAACTGAGTTATTTAGTTTGTTAACATTTCAGCTATTCTGTTTACAGTCTGTCATCAGATTATTTAATACGATTTGTTAAAGGCTCAGGGCAATCTCGATGACAAAGGTCAATGTTCCCCCCCCCCCCTGTGAGCCAGCCGCGAGCATGGTCGCCGCGTCTTTATTACGTCATCACAACAACACGTTAGGTTACCAACGTAAGCCTGTTCTGACATTCGGTGATATTTTTTCGGTGCTAAAACCCTTTCGGCCGAAAGCCGAAAGGGCCTTTTTAACCATTTTCGGCCGATAATTTTCGGTGGCCGAATATTCGGTGCATCCCTAAAAATAAGTGCTTCAACATAGTTAACATTGCAGGAAAGCAATATATTAGACGTTAAGTACTTTGTCAGGCTTAATATTTATCTGTAGATAGATACCCCCAAAGTTTTTTTCTTATTTAAAAGAAGACCTTAATCTGTTATTTAATGTTTAAATAAAAGTTAATTCGTTTGTCTGTTTTGCACCTCCTCCTATTAATATCTTTGTACATTCTGCACTAAACTGTTTTATTGTAGAGATCACTTATAGTATCTTCTTGATTTTTTATATTCTATATTTATACTTTCCCCCTATGAAAGTATGTACTCTTAATATTTTTTTAATCAAATAAAACACAATCATTCAATAACGTGCTTTAACCACTAGGCGGTGCACACAAGGTACACACAGCCATAATAACTTTGTATTATTAGTGTAGGACACTTTTGTTTTCGTACAACATCTGAAGATGTGTAGTTTTATGCATGCTTTCACATAATTTTACAGCATATTGCTATACTATTTCAGACTCAGTATTTACATTCTTACATTCAAAGAAAATCAGTAATATCTTTAAAAACGACAGTCCTGTTATATCAGCTGTGCACCGTTATGGTGTAAATATAACCTATCTGTGAATTAGATCAAATGTAAAAGTCAGCCGAATTAGTGTTGATACTGCAAGGAGACGTATTGTGTGAAGAGAAATTGAAGATGTTGTTTAATTGTTGAATATATTTATGATCCACGTCAAGTATTCAGTTTCGGCGGCATTTTCTCAGTTTTTCCAAAGGTCTTCTCATCAGGGCTCTATAAATAAAGAACTACGGCAGATCTGTAATATACAATGCAGCCGAACTTTGTATTACAAAGCCGTTATGTGATGACTTTCAAAGAGAAAAGCAAGAGCGCTCGGAATTAAGTATTATTTTATTCTTTTAAAATGTTTTCCGGATTTCATATCATATAAACACCAAATCCCAGCATGCATTGCGGCTAAAACATCCAATAAGCAATCTTAAAACCATAGCTGAGGATCTTGGGTAATCGCTCGAAATGCCTACGTCTGTTTCCGGTTATTTTTATTTTGAAATTCAGTTCCTGACGGACGCCAAAAAAGCCAGAGATTATGGAATTAAACCAATTAATAAAAGCAAGGATAATTGTGTGTTATTGGTGAGTAAATAACATTGTGTTATTTTGAAAAGAATATCGAATTAGAAGGAAAAAAAGATTTAAAAAATACAGATTTCAGTATCCTGAGGCTCTGAGCCTTTTATTTTCCTCACAGACGGGAACAAAAGTCCGAAATTATACGATTTCAAATAAAAGCAATAACTGTGGCTTGATATTGAGTAAGAACATGTTTTTATGAACCACACAGCTTCAGGTCTTCCTCGACCCGACCGGAGAAAAAGACGTGCTGCAGGCAGTAGAAATACATTGCTTTTAAAATCGTGCTGTGCAACACGAAAAAAAGGGGCAAATCGTGTTGGTGAACACGAATCAATAGATTAAAAATCGTGTTGGTGAACACGAATCAATAGATTAAAAATCGTGTTGGTGAACACGAAATGCCGTGAGACTGGGTTGATATACGATACGTATATATGAGTAACTGATACTGTCTTTTATAATAATAATAATACATGTTATTTACACAGCACTTTTCCTGGTGCTCAAAGCGCTTTACAAGCAAGTAAAGAAAAATAACAACAACAGTAAAAAGTGTTAAGCTAGGTGGAATAGGGGCGAAAGGTTTGTGATACTTAGATATTAATATTATTGTAATTTGGATAGTGGGATATAGTTGCGATTTTAGAGAGATGTTGATATGTATCTAACTACAGGAAGTTGCTTTAACCCAAGCCACTGAAGTTTAAAGAGGAAACCAGAGCCTAGTCTGTTCTGATTCGTTCGCTGGACAGCTCTATTGTGATTGGCCAACCGCTCAGATATGTCCCGCCCCCTTTGGGTCTCTTTTATTGTTACTGTAAGGCAGAGAGGTAAACGTGCCATCAGCTCACCAGACAACTTTATGGATTCGTGTTTCTCACTCTCGTCAAAGGAAGAGTGGTCATCATCAGAATAAGAGCGATTGGCATCACCCTGGAGACAAAGAAGCATACAAACAGACGGGGAGTTCATCATATGAATGCAGTCATGGTATGGGAGGCTCACAATGTACCAGCTTTCACAGGTTCAGTTTGACTCAGGATCTATGTTCAACCACAAACCCCTCAAAACACTAACACACTACTCTCATGACCCAACCGTTTGGTTTAAAGCAGGGGTGTCCAAAGTATTTCACCCAGGGCCAGGCCGCTTACTAGAGGTATTTTGCCTCATAAAGTGAGTCAATCAAATGTAGGTCAATTATTCTTGATACTTGAAAATGCTTTAAGAAACACAACAGGTTACATCAGAGCTCTCCTTTAGGGTTTCATTTATTTAGTTGGCAGCTCATTCCTTAAAACAAAAGCCTCAGATTGCTTATAACAACCGGAAATATGAAGGGTCTATTTAAAGCTTGTTATGTAATTAAGTTATTGGGCTTTTTCTTCACATTTATATTTCAGAAGTACAATATAAGACAAGGACACGTTTTATTTGTGGGCCATATTTTATTATACTTTTTTAATTAGCTGACAGCCGTTTCAAAATGGGCCGCATTTAGCCCCCGGGCCGTAGTTTAGACACCCCTGGTTTAGACCAATGGGATTCCCCTTTGTTCTACGCAATGGGAACATCTGGAGTAAATTGGCTCAAAAAAAAAACAGGGGATAGCGGTAGTAGCATTAGTAGAGGAGGTGATAAAGCCAGAAGAAAATACCTTCAGTGAGATGAGAGAGAAGACAGAGGAAGACTATCAAAACCTTGTGAATTATGCCAGTGTCCCTCCTAAATCTACACTTGCGATGAATGTGGAATGGATTACTGTTATTCAAGGATTCGTCTGGACATTTGACAGCTGATGGCAGACTGACAGCATGAGTTCCTCTGAGATGGATGGCTTCAGTATTGAGTGTAATACACCATTATTGTGGTCGGACTGCCTCAGTGTAAACTAGATGTTATACCATTTGAATCGTAAGATAAGTTTGCAATTCCTTCACAGTATTTAGGCTTACAGTATAGTCAACACTTGGTAAAGGGAACAGCAGAAGAAGACAGACAGGAAGTAAACACTGAAGGGAACAGCAGAATAATACAGACAGGAAGTAAACACTAAAGGGAACAGCAGAAGAAGACAGACAGGAAGTAAACACTAAAGGGAACAGCAGACAAAGACAGGCAGACAGGAAGTAAACACTAAAGGGAACAGCAGAAGAAGACAGACAGGAAGTAAACACTGAAGGGAACAGCAGAATAATACAGACAGGAAGTAAACACTGAAGGGAACAGCGGAAGAATACAGACAGGAAGTAAACACTAAAGGGAACAGCAGAAGAAGACAGGCAGGAAGTAAACACTGAAGGGAACAGCAGAAGAATACAGACAGTAAGTAAACACTAAAGGGAACAGCAGAAGAAGACAGACAGGAAGTAAACACTAAAGGGAACAGCAGAAGAAGACAGACAGGAAGTAAACACTAAAGGGAACAGCGGAAGAAGACAGGCAGACAGGAAGTAAACACTAAAGGGAACAGCAGACGAAGACAGGCAGACAGGAAGTAAACACTAAAGGGAACAGCAGACGAAGACAGGCAGACAGGAAGTAAACACTAAAGGGAACAGCAGAAGAAGACAGACAGGAAGTAAACACTAAAGGGAACAGCAGAAGAAGACAGACAGGAAGTAAACACTAAAGGGAACAGCAGCAGAAGACAGACATGAAGTAAATATGTAAAACAGCAGAAGAAGACAGACAGCAAGTAAACACTAAAGGGAACAACATAATAAGACAGACAGGAAGTAAACACTAAAGGGAACAGCAGAAGAAGACAGACAGGAAGTAAACACTAAAGGGAACAGCAGACGAAGACAGGCAGACAGGAAGTAAACACTAAAGGGAACAGCAGACGAAGACAGGCAGACAGGAAGTAAACACTAAAGGGAACAGCAGAAGAAGACAGGCAGACAGTAAGTAAACACTAAAGGGAACAGCAGAAGAAGACAGACAGGAAGTAAACACTAAAGGGAACAGCAGCAGAAGACAGACAGGAAGTAAATATGTAAAACAGCAGAAGAAGACATACAGCAAGTAAACACTAAAGGGAACAGCAGAAGAAGACAGACAGGAAGTAAACACTAAAGGGAACAGCAGACAAAGACAGGCAGACAGGAAGTAAACACTAAAGGGAACAGCAGAAGAAGACAGGCAGACAGGAAGTAAACACTAAAGGGAACAGCAGAAGAAGACAGGCAGACAGTAAGTAAACACTAAAGGGAACAGCAGAAGAAGACAGACAGGAAGTAAACACTAAAGGGAACAGCAGCAGAAGACAGACAGGAAGTAAATATGTAAAACAGCAGAAGAAGACAGACAGCAAGTAAACACTAAAGGGAACAGCAGAAGAAGACAGACATGAAGTAAACACTAAAGGGAACAGCAGACAAAGACAGGCAGACAGGAAGTAAACACTAAAGGGAACAGCAGACGAAGACAGGCAGACAGGAAGTAAACACTAAAGGGAACAGCAGCAGAAGACAGACAGGAAGTAAACACTAAAGGGAACAACAGCAGAAGACACACAGGAAGTAAACACTAAAGGGAACAGCAGCAGAATACAGACAGGAAGTAAACACTAAAGGGAACAGCAGCAGAAGACAGACAGGAAGTAAATATGTAAAACAGCAGAAGAAGACAGACAGCAAGTAAACACTAAAGGGAACAGCAGAAGAAGACAGACAGGAAGTAAACACTAAAGGGAACAGCAGACAAAGACAGGCAGACAGGAAGTAAACACTAAAGGGAACAGCAGACGAAGACAGGCAGACAGGAAGTAAACACTAAAGGGAACAGCAGCAGAAGACAGACAGGAAGTAAACACTAAAGGGAACAACAGCAGAAGACACACAGGAAGTAAACACTAAAGGGAACAGCAGCAGAATACAGACAGGAAGTAAACACTAAAGGGAACAGCAGCAGAAGACAGGCAGACAGGAAGTAAACACTAAAGGGAACACAGTATGGGCTCTGGCAGTGTTTAAAGACTGGTTAATGTAAAATAAAAGGTGAACAGACTTGGACAGTTACAGAAAACCTCGATCAGTGCTGCCATCATTGGACAGTTTTGGACAATTTCTTCTTAGCGGCAGCAAATCAATATTTCTAAGGTCAAGAAAATCCTTAAAAATCCATATTAAGAGTGAAGTCGTTGGTTCATTGAGTGTGTTGCCATGTGAGAGGCAGACAAATGAACATTGAGGTGGTCATTATCCGGTTTATTACATAGCCAGTTGCTAATAACCTTTTTCATTAATGACTGCACATTGCTCCTCTACATGAAAACTATTTCAAAATAATTGTACAAGAGCGTGGATTGGTTTAGTATTTTATCGTGTATTTGAACTGTATAGAATAGAAGCTGTAACTCATGTCAATCTGCTCAGTTTCTATGAATACAAAGACCAGGCTTATTTTAGCTGTGAATGTCCTGGGCAAAGGTCAAAGTGAGAAACACAGACAGATGGACGGATGCCTACTATCTATAGAATAATTCTCCATGCACAGAATGCACTGTTGGTGTACCAATTGATATCTAACCAATCGAAATGCAGCACTTGTTCGGAGGAAGTTGTTGAATATCTAAGATGTAAGAGCTGCTTTATAAGTTTACAGCCCATGCATTGGAAAATAAATACATTTCACCAATATTCGGAAATTTGGAACGGTTTGGAGTGAATGAGGGCTTGTTAATTTGGTGCTATTCCTTGGTTGCATTAAATGTCAGTGATCATTTAATATATGTCACCTCTACTGAAGCAGGTTGAACCAAATTAACATTTTCAAAAGGTTAGTAATCAACAAACCTGGCCTGGGCACCTCCATCGAGTACGACTTTATTCAAAAGCAGACCTCAAGTTTACAGCCTGCATTTTGAGCGGAATAATTGGGCAGTGAGCTCCCTTACCTCCGCCTGAAAGCCTTCGACCAAGATGGCTACCAGCAAGTTGAAGAGGACGTAGTTTCCAAAAGTCATGAGCGCCACGAAGTAAAGAGCGGCGAGAGGAGAAGTGGCCGCCATCCCGTTGTACAAAACCGCGTTCCAGTCCTCCTGGGTCAGAATCTGAGAGAGTAACGTACACACACATATAAGGCGTTAATAGTACAAAAGAACAGGAGTCCAACAATTTGATTAGATGTTCTTACATTTGCAAAATACTAATGTTTACCAAAGAGTTCTTCAAATCTGTCATCTTAGATTCTTCTATTAGCTTTAAATGATATTGAAAATAAAGAGGTATAAAGACACACTTCTCACAAGGTACACTGCTAAACCATAACTGTTTATATTCTTGTTTTGTATTCAATTTATGAATTTGTGTTTGTATGAATTTGTGTTTGTATGAATTTGTGTATGTATATATATATAAATATATGGAGACCATTCTCCTAACTTGCCTGTATAAATTATATGAATGATTATATAAATTATTCAAGATTATAAGTATACATTTATATTGTATGTTAACATATATTAAGATGTAAAAAAAAAATAAAAAAGGGAGAAGGGGTCGGATTAAATAAGTGTGAACTTCTTCCGACCCCTTTTCGGACGTGTAATTAGCTAAAGCTTTGTTGTTTATTGATATCAGACAATGATACTACAGATTATTCAATTAGTAATTACATATTTCGTTTTGTTATTGCATTCATTTTGATAGTACTGTATCATGTCTGTATCATCCTTTGTTTCATTTGTATTTTCTTTGGTTTTACACGCTCGAAAAAAATAAAATGTGAATCACATGAGACTTATATACGAATATGCAAAATGTACATAATTGGAGTCAAAGTGTGTGTAAAGTTTAGTTCAAAAATGTATTGAATGAAATGTGTCCAAGTACGGAAAATAATTAGGGCCACGACTGAATTTAATGTTTACGATCTTTCCAAATGTTTTTTGCATAGAGTTTTTCTCAGAATTCAGATTTGTATTTAATTCAAAAATAAATAAATCACGTTTGGTTATATCTAAAAATATAATGCTCTAAGCCTCTTCCAACGCAAGTCATCTGCATACAGAGAGACATTGTTGCACACATACAGGGCGCTTACACACAAGTATACCACTTAAACACTTTGAGTCGATACAACATACTGACGTTTCCCAAGGAGTTGGGCAAAGATTATTTTAGATTCTTCTATAGGTTTTTGAAAATATATATCAAATGTGAATTACAAATTGGTATCAGAACCAATATAGAAACATTGTATTTGAAAGTTACAATTTTTGTAAAGATTTGTGCAAAAATGTATTGAATGTTAAGAACTATGTGCAAGTACGGAAGAGGATTAGGACCAAAAAGTGATTATTTGAGAATTTGTACTTTTTTCTCAGAACCCTAATTTTGATCTCAAAACTCCCCAAATAAAATGCACTTTTGGTCAGAGATACAATATTTAAATATGGCCCTAATTCTCTCAAGGCATCTGCATACAGACATAAGGGTGGTTTTGGCGCAGTGGTTAGAGCGTTGGTCATCAGATCAAGGGGCGTTGGTGAACTCCAGTTCGAATACCGCCTCGGCCGCCACTGACACTTTACCTGCATTTGCTCCTGTGGGTAATGTCCGCAGTAATGACTCGTACATGTGTAATGTCTACTTGTAAAGCGCTTTGAGCACCTGTAAAAGCGCTCTAATAAAAAATGTAATGCATTATTATTATTATTATAAATGGTTGCAAGTGGAGAAACTATGCAGAGATGTTTATCTTGAACGATATTGACCAGAACAGGACATTTTCTCTGATGGTGATTTTCCAATACACATTATTATTTGACTTACCAAGATGATGAATTGTCTAAAAACAAGACCCGATATCTCACTGAAGTTATTATGTCTTATAGCAGGTGTAAAGACATATTCTGACTAGATATTAGACACATGTACTGGGCAAGATTTCTGTTTTTGTAGTGTGACGTGTTGCTCACCTGGAACACGGTGACGATGGCCCAGAGCAGAGAGTCAAAGTTCTTCCGGTCCGGCACGGTGTCGCCGGTCTCTGTCTTCAGACTGAACTTACAGCCGAAGATGTGCATCCCCAGGATACTGAAACACAACAGAAGAAAACCTTTCATAGTCAAAATCAGGCAGTCGATGAAAGTGTTGAGAAAATACTGAATGTACTCTTTGAATGTATATAACCGGATGTTAAATAGATGAAGCTCATGAGACACTGTGTTGAACATACGATAGCTATGTTCAACGATTAAACATGATGACACCGCTCCTAGGGAGATAGGCATATGACTGTCATGTGTATTGCTTACGCAGGCCTGAGCTAATCTGAGCTAAACATTGCTGCTTTCTATTCCTCCATCTTGTGACTGTGTAACTCCCTCTCCTGGATATCAGCATGTGAAGGACACTGTTCAGGAACTAGTTGATGCTCTGTATGTGATGACTGCTTCCATTCTGGAGAGGATCACAGACACATGGATCCTGAGATTGAAGCTCAAGCCGGGGACCAGCGATATTTTTGAGTATTCAGAAAAAGTGAGCATTTTGAGAAAGTCAGCATTTCGAGATTTTGAGTAAAAAGTCAGAATTTGAGATTTTGAGAAAAAAGTCAGAATTTTGAGATTTTGAGAAAAAAAAGTCAGAATTTTGAGATTTTGAGTAAAAAAAGTCAGACTTTTGAGATTTTGAGAAAAAAAGACCGGATTTTGAGAAAAAAGTCAGACTTTTGAGATTTTGAGAAAAAAAGTCATAATTTTGAGAATAAAGACAGAATTTTTTGATTTTGAGAAAAAAGTCAGAATTTTGAGAAATAGTAAAAGAAAAAGAAACTGGCATTCCTCCATCTTGTGACTGTGTAACTCCGTCTCTTGGATATAATGTGAAGGACACTGTTCAGGAACTAGTTGATGCTCTGTATGTGATGACTGCTTCCATTCTGGAGAGGATCAGAAACACATGGATCCTGAGGTTGAAGCTCAAGCCGGGGACCAGGGAGATCTTTCTAACAGAAAGTTTCATTTTAGTTAACACATGTAATAATCATAACCAAGCAAAAACATGGACTATGTGAGGGTCATGCATTGTAACATGAACCTGTATTCACTGTGAACATATAACGTCTGCTGGACCTGACTGATGAATAATAGACTTGGTAAAGCATGATGAATATTCTGCCAATTTGTTACAGTTATTCACGGAGAGGCTTCGGATAATTAAGGCTTTTCTTTGTTCCGCCAGTTCTGATTTTGGACATTCTGCATTGATATGCTGTTCTGTGTGCAGTTATTTTAAAAACCAATCACTTTCTTGGCTGGGAAAATGAAGACAATGGTTACATAAGATGTAATCACACAGCATTGGTTGAGATAAAAGGTAATATGTAAGAGGCGTGTGGCGCAGTGGACTAGAGCGTTGGTGTTCGGGTCACAGCAGGTTCAAACCCCACTGCAGTCAGCATGTCGTTGTGTGACACTTCACCCCAAAGTGCTCCTGTGGGGATTGTCCTCAGTATTGAGTATGTAAGTCGCTTTGGATAAAAGCGTCTAACAAGTGACATGTGATGTAATGTAAGATAGATAAAAAGGATTTGCAGGGAATCCAAGAGCCTTTGTACAGACCTGCGTCTGAGCATCAACAAGAATACTGTTTCTCAATGTTGTGTTATTTGTTTTCATATTTTTTAGTCAATGTATCAAACATGTCAGAAACAAAACATACAAATGAAGCTGAGCGCAAGTTCAACCAGGAAGACCGTCTTTACTCTTCATGTATTTCTATCTCCATGTTTCTACTCTCTCTCCTCTCAATAAGTGACCGGGGGCGTCACTCTTCAGCTTAGCCAATCACTTCGCTCTATTCTCACAACAAGCCTATCATAATGCTCCGTCAAATCTTTTTAAATCTGCTCTCCCCCCTCTGACAGCTGTCATTTCAGGTGACTCTACGCAACCCTCCTCCCCCCCTTTTCACCTCCTGTCCCTCTGAATCCAGGGTCAAGCTAAGCCCCTCCCCTTCAGACCGAACCCAACCATCCATTCACCACCACCAGGGTCTAGACCCCGGGGGGGTTTCATCGGATCGGTTCTACCCTCCCGAATGATACTTCCTGCACAACGGGGCCTAATCGCCAAAATCACCTTTACATTCATTTGTGCATCTGCGCGATACATATGTATTCTTACATCAAAAACCGTCTCTCCTGATTGAACAGTAATCTTTGTAAAAACAATTTCTTATAATAATAATTATATCAAAGAGAAAAATTAAAAAACGTTCAGGGTACAAAGAAAATGAAAGAGTCTCTCATGTTCAACAGGGGCAAGAAGAAGCTTAAAACCTCTCGTCCCCCTCTAGCGTACATGTTCCTTGAATATAAAAGATTAGGTCATCGTCATCAGCGTCATGTTGTAAACAAATATGTATTTATCATTATTATCAGAAATAAATAACTTTTAAAATGACAAGAAATAACTAGTATGAGTTCACAGGTCCTGCTCATAACCATTAATGATTTGTCTTCTAACTAATGTTTAGATAAACAATATTTCAGCTCGTCATTCCAGTTACAACCTTTTGTTGAGATGCAATTACGTTTTGAATTTGTTTGTCGTATGGGTGTTTTTAAAAAAAATGCAGTTTCCTCTCAACATGTGCATGCTTTCTCTCCGTGTGAAAAGTCCCTGGACATTACGAGGTAATGGTTGATTTGCGGCTTTGAACATCATTTGGATAGTTTTATAGTCTTGTAGTTTTAGTGTTTGATAAATAATGTATTTGTCGGTTCTCTGTTGGTAGTTTTATACTAATTCTCAGCCGGATAATTACATTGGAGTAAATTGACAAACCAGACATGACATGGACAAATGGTAAATACATGTAGCTGGGATGTGACACTTTCATAACCCTCCATAAAAAGGACACCAACACACAATAAAACACCTTTTCATAGTCGCAGCTTGGTAAGTACAATGATAAAACGGATAAGTCAAATCAAGCAATCTGATTGGTTCTTAGCCGTGATATAATGAGCGTATATCACAGGTAGAATTGTAGTTACTTTTCACAAGTCAGTGTCCCTCCGCGTCTGAGCTACAACCGTTACAACTGTTACATTACGTCCGTTACGAAACTAACTAACAAAGCTTAAGATGGAAACATTTAAGGTTAACTTCGACCTCCGGAGTCTTACTGTGGAGGAGTGGATTGAGGAGTGCCTATCTCCACCTAAACGACGACATGCAGAGCAACGAACAGAACACCGTGAAGCAAACAAAATGGGCAGTTAAGTGCTTTGAAGACAAAAGCTTTCTGATGCGGGTCTTGAAAGCAGGTTTTAATTATGAAATTATGAGCGTTAGTGGCCACAGGTGCGAAAGCTCTCTCCGAGAAAGTGGAGCAATATTCTCACCACGCCAAGCAACAGCCTAGAACAACCTCAACCTGTACAAGTAACCTCGTAAGCCAAGCTACTGATGCTGGACAGGTTTTCAGTGGCTGCACAATAAACGCCAACATACACATGAATGTAAATAAATAGCCAAACTATTGATCAACGCTATCCGTCTAATATGTTCGCTAGCTGTTAACGTCCCGTCCACACAGCAGCGTTATCTTCCAACGCTTCTGCCCATTGACTTTGAATGGGGTGACGTCACTTTGCCTCGCTTTTCGCCGAACTGCATTGTGGGGAAGCAAAGCGAAGATTTCCAGGATTTCCAGGATTTCCAGGATTCAAAAGTTGAGCAATGTTCAACTTTTGAAGCTGAGGTGGAAGCGTCAGCCAATCAAATCCCGTTTATGCAAATCTGACAGTCCAAGCGCTAGCCAATCAAACCGCGTGTAAGCAGGGAGAGACAGACCGCAGTTCATTTCCTCATATTCCAAACGAGAAATTACGGTAGCAAATCACCCGGTTCTTTACGACCAGAACTATTAACGGGATACAAACCGGAGGAGCGAGGCATGGAGGGAGGTGGCAGAGACAGTGGGTGAAACTGGTAGGTTTTCGCCTGTTTGGGGATTTTATATCCAGTTTACTTCGTTTTAACATTGCTATTGCTTTGTATGTCGGGGGCGGGAGATTCATGTGATTGGTTGTTGGTCGCAAAAAATCCCCAAGCTTTCAGACACGCACACCTCCAAGATTTTCAAGATTTTTTTAACGCGGCCGTGTGGACGGGCCGTAAGTGTTGTTGCATAGCAACCACCTCGCACTATGTTTTGTGCAGAAGGCAACGGAGGGACTATTTTATTTTGCTTAATTATATCACATGAAGTGCTTGTACAAAATCTCCCTGCATGTGTATATATGTATCTGGTTAACTCAGGGTCCTTTCTTCTCAAACCCCTGTGAGCGCTGGCCGTTTAACGAGAAGAGGAGAAAGAAAACAAAGCGAGGACTGCAGCCATTGATCGTCCTCTTAAAGCCCTTTTTAGGCCTTCAGAGAAACTGCTTTTGCTGCTTGAACATCTACATGTCTGCGTGTTATGTTGCTACAGCTCTTGAAATGTCTGCTCATTCAATTCTAACAAGATCTTTCAGTGTGCGCTTGTTATACTCCACTCAGGGTTCATAGCTGCTGCAGAACACTGTGACCTTCTGCTCTTCAATGGGAGCTGTTAGGCAGCTGAGCAGGACTTACACAAACACATAACAGAAGAAGACGAAACGATAATCTCTTTGTCAGCCAATCGTGTGTGGCTTAGAAAGGTGTTGAAGGTTCATGGCATCACATTTATCTTCAATCTAATATTTATTATAAAACGGACAAGTCAAATCAAGCAATCTGATTGGATCTTAGCCGTGATATACTGAGCGTATACCACGGGTAGAATTGTAAGTTACTTTTCACAACAAGTCAGTATCCCTCCGCGTCTGAGAAAAACAGTATACCGTTGGGCTGAAAAGCAAACTGCCTGCAGTTTGCTTTTCAAACTGGAACAAGAAAGCAGCGGAGAAGCAACGGGGCAGAAACCCTCCTTTTTACGCAGCGGTCCAGACATAGACATCAAACGGCAAAACATATTCAGTGTGCAGTTCCTTTGGCATTATGGCAGGGATATCTAGATACTTTCCAAGGTTTGACATCATGAATTGTGCTACTTTTAAAGCAAGTTTTCAAATCTGTAATCAAAGAGGTCCGCAAAAACACTATCGACCAATCAGATTGCTTGATTTGACTTGTAAGTTTTATATATTTCCATTTCTTCCGTTACGAAACAAACTTACAAAGCATAAGATGGAAACATTTAAGATGAACTTCGACCTCCGGGGGGGTCTCACTATGGAGGAGTGGATTGAGCAGTGCCTATCTCCAGAAGAAAAAAAGCAACTAAACGACGACATGCAGAGCTACGTGAAGAGCAGGTAGACCAACTGGAAAAGTGCCACCATTCAAAAGCTTTCTGATGCGGGTCTTGAAACAAAGCAGAGAAATGATGACCGTTAGTGGCCACAGGTACGAAAGCTCTCTCCAGAGCTGCTGGAAGCCAAATCTCGGGGACCGGAGAAAGTGGAGCAATATTCTCGCCACGCCAAGCAACAGCCTAGAACAACCTCAACCTGTACAAGTAACCTCGTAAGCCTTTCTATTGATGCTGGACAGGTTTTCAGTGGCTGCACAATAAACAGCAACATACACATGAATGTAAATAAATAGCTAAATAATGGATCAACGCTCTCTGTCTAATATGCTCGCTAGCTGTTAGTGTTGTTGCATAGCAACCACCTCGCACTATGTTTCGTGCAGAAGGCAACGGAGGGAATATTTTATTTTGAACATCATTATTTACTAATAAAAACTATTTAAATTAGAGTGTGTATTTTTCTTTCATATTGCCACACTTGGTAACCGTTTTATAAAAGCAATAGCTCACGACAGGCCGTGGTATATGCTCATTATATCACAGCTAAGGGGGTTGTCGACCCTCCGCTTCGCGTCGGGCCGAACCACGCCCCTTAGCTGTGATATAATGAGCATATACCACGGCCTGTCGTGAGCTATTGCTTAAATAATCCATTCCTTGCACAATTAACGTATATAATATCCTGCTTATTACTTTTTACTGTACATTTGTATTTCCACATGTATATTTTCTACTTTTTTAATGCTATTTTATTTCAATTTGAGACGTTTACATTTTGGATTGTTTCTTGTTCTAGTCTTTTAATTTGTGTTTTACTTTTATGTCTGCACCCCGACATCAAGTCAAATTCCTCGTACGTGTCAACCTACCTGGTGATAAACCTGATTCTGAAACATTCCCAAATTGGGATCAATAAAGTAAATCTTATCTTATTGCAGTAACACACTCTTTCCATTCACAGCACATGTTACCTGAAGATGAAGATGAAGAGCATGAGCAGCATGCAGAAGGTGGCCACGTTGTCCATGGTCTTCATCAGAACCACCAGCTGTCTCCTCAGAGCGGGCATGAACCTCACGAGCTTCAGGACCCTCAGCAGTCTGAAGGTCCTCAGCACCGACAGACCTCCGTCAGACTGGCCCACGATCTCACACACACTGAGAACAGAAACAGGAGCAACATTGACATAGACATGCATTAATATTGTCACGATCTGTCTTTGTTTTATTTTGTATTGTTAAGATCTGTCTTTGTTATCCCGTTTTATTCTGAAAGGTGAGCACTCCCCAGTTAAGTCTGTTTTTACTTCCTGTCTCTGTGTTGCCCTCCTGTTTGATTGCCTGATTGTGTTCACCTGTGTTTTTCCTCCCTCCCCACCTGTGTCTTGTCTTGGTGATCACTCATGCTGGTATTTAAGTTATGTTCGTCTTTCAGTCGTTGTGAGATCCTTGTCCGAGTTGAATGTGTTCACTGGGGAGAGAGTGCTGCTCTGTATGTGTCAGTTGTTAGCCTTGAAATAAAGGAATGTTCGGTTACACCTCTGTTCCTGCCTGCTTCGCTCACCCTGACAAACATACAGTAGATACCTGTGCCAGGGGTCACGAATCCTAACCAACACGGTCATTGGCAGATTTGATAAACCTTCCAATTGTCCTCAGGTCAAATTTGACTTGTTTTCTTCAGCTTATGTCCAAAAGAATAACATGGATGGATCCATATTATGTTCCTCGCAAAATCTCATGTTTCTAATTTCATTGGATTCTGGGAGTTGTATTTCAATGTAAAGCATCGTGGTCAACAGGTGTCAGAAACACTTTCAAGATGTGTTCCTCTGATGTTAACTAGGGAAGATGAAACAAATACAAATAAAAACCCTTTGTCTGAGGCAAGGATAAATCAGAATCCTGAAAAAATCGGACTTCTGAGAAAAAAGACAAAAATCTGAGAGAAAAGTCAAAATTCTGAAAAATTATTTCTAAGATAAAAAGTTGGAAATCTGAAAAAGCTGACATTCTGAGAGAAATACAAAATTCTCCAAAAAATCTAATTCTGACTGATCTCAGAACTTCAAAAAAAACAAAACACTTTTGGTCAGTTCTTAAAAAAAGAAAATGTCACATGACCCTAATCCTCTCCCGTACCTAATGACCAGTGGCGATCCTAGAGTCAGTGGGGGCCCAAGGCAAACATTCCCTGGGGGCCCCTCAAACCAGCTTTTCATCACCACGCACAACCGGCAGCAGCAAACCCCCCCGGAGCGGAGAAAATAAACTTCACTGATGAAGCAGCTTTTGACGGCGCGCTATGCATGGGGCACCCTAGAAGGGGTTTCCAGACATGTCATCGCAGTAAATTAAAGGGGATTTCATGTTGTCGTTGCTGTGGACCTTCTTAAATCTACCTTCTTTGGGGGCCCCCTTCTTTGGGGGCCCCCTTCTGGTCCGGGGCCCCAAGCAGTTGCCTGCCTGCCTGCGCCCCTGCTAATGACATATAATCTGAGTACATAAAGTAATCATTACTCTCTTCACATTAAAATATGTTTCATGTTTTATACTAACACTTTAAGGAAACGTTGACAAATTGGTTTTTGTTGTGTTGAAGTGATTCATGTGTCCACTTAAGAGGTTTTGGTCACTATAAATCAAGCTTGTGCTTAAATGCCTAATGTCTTTTTTTAAATTGCTGTTTGCTCCTGAAAAACAACCACAGGGGGTGGGCGGGGGTCATGGACGTTAAACCCTCCCTTTGAGTTCAGGAAGGTATTGTTCAAGAGCAGAAAAAACGATGCTGGTTTCCTGGTTAAAATTGTGCTTTAAAGAAATGTGTCCTCTAATGGAGGGGCACTCCTCTGAACACATCAATAGCATCAGCTGCATAGGGGGGGGGGGAAGATTGAATAGGAGCACTTTTAAAAGAGCATGAACAGATGAGAACGTTCAGATAGATGAAGAGACAACAATTGGTTGTGCATCGAGAGATAAGAAGACAGGTGTAGATACGTTCAATCAGTGACGGGCTGCACATTTGATCTTGTTCAGTTTGAGTTGCTTTGATGTGCATTTGATCTCAGTGTTATAATGAGGATCACAGACGATGCGCTCTGACGGATGAATTAGAAAAACCGTCAGCTGATCAAAGCCTCAGATGCTCCGGGCTCACACAACAAAAGACTAAACCTGTTCGCTGCCGTCTGCCGGCATCCAAACACATACAGGTGGTACATTTCAATCAGGCACAATGCAGATGACAGATTACAAAGCATGGCATGAATAATTGAACTGCAGCAACAACAGTCGGTCAAACCCCCCAAAAAGTACCAGAATAACATCGGTCGGTATATCGGTAACAGTAGTGTCAAAAAAAGAATATGTCAATAAGATTTTGCTTGTGATTGGTCCGCATGATCAGGGGGGTATACTACGAAGCAGGATTTTCGCTTAGCGGCTAAATTCAGGGAAAACTCCGGCTTTCCGGTCCTACGAAGCTGGTTCTCTTTTTAGCAGGCTAGATCTCCATGGTAACTGATGCTTAGCGGCTAACCTGGTCGGGACCAGGTTAGGTTGCAGGCTAAGAGCTCAACTCAGTGAAAGCACTGCCTGCTGACCAATCAGAGCTCAGTGTGCGGAGTTTAAAGCGATCAAGTCATATTACAGGAGAAAGGAAATACAGAAAAGCTGCCGTCGCAGGAAAGACGGCCGTCAAAAATCACCGACTGTGTGAACGTGAACATGAATAGAATATCACCTCCATCTTCAGAGCAATCTGACTATTATAACATTAGCGTTAAGAAAGCTTACTGAAATATCTGCCACAACATAAGTAACCGGATCAGAGTAACATTAAGTACAGTCCGCGGCATATCACTTCATAATGTATCATATATCTCCTTATCTGAGTCAGCTGAGCCGTATCTGGCCGTGCAACACTCACAGTGTCACATACTGTATGCAGAAGTATTATTTTAAGCAACACATTAAGTTGACGAAACACTCGAGTCAAATGTAATGAAAGTCAGATCGTGTCTTAGACGGGGCAGTGATATCATAAACCTGTTAATGTACGCATTCAAACACTTGTTCTGTTCCCAGCTGTATTCACCTTGCAGGTGCAGCTCTGTGGCTTTGATCCTGGATCAAGTGTTTAAGTCATGGATGTTTAAAGTTTAACTTCTTCATATGTCTAATATTAAAGTTCACTTTTCATTCAGGAAGTATGACGCTGCGCTGTCAGTACGCTTCTCCATGTTTGTGATTAGTCGAATGCTCCAGATACCACCTTTCATGTGAACGCGCACCTAACTAGATAGGACACGGCTGGCTTGAGCGATCCACTTGATAACCAGCGTCGTAGTACCGTTTAGCGAGAGCGCGTATGTTTTGGATTAGGCCAACCGGCTAACTCAAACATATCCAGGTTAGGTTGAACTAGATTCGTAGTACAGGCCTCTGAAGTAGTGAGTGTGTGTGAAGTTCACCTTCCTGCTAGACAACCTTTATGTCTGCTATATATTTAATACTTTGGAATAACAATTGTACGTACACTACTAACAAATGCAGCAAAGGCTTACAATGCCAAACTTAAGGCTTCAGAAGATCACAGAGAAATCGGTGCACTTCTATCTAGACAGGTCTCAGTATATGATGCAAAATGACACAAAAGTAAAGCGCTGAATGTGGAGTTTGACATATTGGTGGTGCTGGATAAGCTAGGAAGCTAAAGTGGAAAAATAAGAACTAAAGTGAAGGTAGGACGTTGACAGAAATGAAAGCAAGTCAGGAAAATAAAAATGAGAAGTAAGAGGGTAAACGGAGAGGAGTTGTCAGGCAGTACAACAATATCTTTGACCTTCCTTCTGGCAACACTGCATATTTAGGACATCTATATTACCTTATGATGACGATGATTCCATCAAAGACATTGTAGGGGTTTCTCAGGTAGCTGAAGGAGCCAAATGCAGTGAGTTTGAGTAACATCTCCAGGGAGAACATGCTGGTGAACACGATGTTGCAGATTTCCAGAACATTGGTGAGTTCTTCTGGCTGACAAAGAAAAGAAACACAAAAAAGAGGAATAAGATGGGAAGGTAGAGCAGACAAAACGCAAGAAAGGCACTCAGGGTATGTACCCACATTGTTAAAGTTAGCGTGCTAACGAAGAGGCTACCTCCACGTCTGGAAATAAAAGCCCTTAACCTGCATTATCTCTACTATCCAGCAGGGGGCAACTCCTCTTTCCCATTAAGAAGTCGGATTGTATAGAAGTCTATGGGAAAAGCAGCCCACTCTCTTCAGTCTGCGTACAAATGACACGACTGTGCAAAGGCTTGCAATAGATACGCAGAAGTCCAATTTTGCGTGCATATGATACTCCCACGTTACGTTTGTTATGAACGTATCTTAAATGCGTTTATTTTCTACATATTGTAACGTTCACAAGGTGAGTCGGAAACAGGCTTCTCGTTATTAGGCTTTAATAACTCTTGTTGTTTACAGATGATCACAGGTACATGTACACTTTGTGGGTTCTACCTCACACTAACCTAACTCCTACCCCTACACATATATATATATATCAGTGTCTACGTCACAACTCCCCGCCCTCCCCCGTCCGCTCCCCCAACCACAGGCCCGCACCTCAACCAGCATCACTGTGCAGCTCTATGATTGGCAGAGAGACGGGGGATGCCTGAGTGACACCCTGGACATCCTATGCAGGGTCGCTACAATATCTTTGCCATTTATTTAACCCTAACCCAATAAGCTGCTGTGTCGTTTATTGCACCGCAAACATTAAAACTGTCATTGGAACGGCGATCCAGCCTGAAGCCACAGAGCTCTTTGTTTGAATGTTTAAGTATATCAGCGTATCATATGCACGCAAAACGGACTTCTGCGTATCTATTGCACGCCTTTGCAAAGTCGTGTCATTTGTACGCAGACTGTGAGACCGGGTTGGAAAAAAGGCACCCCAATATATTTGTAATCTTCAGCAAAGATGTACCTTATGAGTTCATGATCTCAATTGCTTGTCCTTCATAAAGCATGGTGTTTGTTCAGTAAATTATGATCTAATTTGGAATAAAATAGACGCTAAACCGGGACACCTTGTCAGGCAAGGCAAGGCAATGTATTTGTATAGCACAATTCATACAGTAATGCAATTCAAAGTGCTTTACAGGATCAGACAGAGAAAACACAATACATTGAGAAGAAATACAAAACACACAAAATAATTCATTAAAAGAAAGAAAACCATGTTTAACAGTTCGAAGATTAGAACATTTCCATTTGAAAAGCCATATTAAAAATAAATGTTTTTAGACCTGATTGAAATGATTCTAAAGTGCCAGCCAATGGAACAGTGAGCGGGCCTGAAGACCTAAGGGGTCTGCTGGGTTCGTAGCACTGAAGGAGGTCCTTGATATATTTGGGTCCTAGCCCGTTTAGTGCTTTATATGTGTATTGTAATTGAAAGGTTGCTACTATGGTGCTTGTAACTCTTTCACAGCGTGTTTTAACTTAATGCAATGAACAGGTCAGCGTGACGCGAGCTACTTAAAGGAACAATGATTGGATCCGTCACAGGAAAAGTGTACAACATTTGTTTTAAGTTTTCCAGATTAATAGAGCGTTTACACATTGATAGCCCTATTGGTGTTTTGTCTTCCATCTTTACAACGCCTTCTTTCATTTCCTTTCAGTCTCGGGTTGTTAATGCACATCAATGGGCGTCTTTCCATCTCTCTGACTCTGTTTGAGCCCTTCTCTCTCTCTCTCTCTCTCTGTCTGTCTGTCTGGCTGTTTCTGTCTGGCTTTGCTCAATATGAGGAAGAACACACACATGGACACACACACATGGACACACCCACCCACCCACACACACACACACATGGACACCCACACACACACACACACAACACACACACACACACACACACACACACACACACACACACACACACACACACACACACACACACACACACACACACACACACACACACACACACACACACACACACACACACACACACACACACCACACACACACACACACACACACACACACACACACACACGGACACACCCACACACACACATGGACACACCCACCCACCCACCCACACACACACACACACACACACACACACACACACACACACACACACACACACACACACACACACACACACATGGACACATGTACATGGACACACATACATGGACCCACACACACACACACACACATGGACACACCCACCCCCACCCACACACACACACACATGCACACATGGACACATACACACACCCACCCACACCCACACACACACATACACACACACACATGGACACACACACACAGACACACACACACACACACACAAACACACATGGACACACACACACACACACATGGACACACACACACACACAGTAACACATGGACACACACACACACACAGTAACACATGGACACACACACACACACATGGACACACACACCCACACACACACACACACACACACACATACACACACACACACACACACACACACACACACACACACACACACACCACACACACACACACACACACACACACACACACACACAAAGGGCTAAATGTGTCTCAATCATGATTTCCAGCACATCACTGTTCCTCAGAGCTGCTCTGTAACTTTCAGCAATGACATTTCCTCGCTGCAGAATCAATGAGCGCTGTGTGTTTTGGATTGACGGTGTGTGTGTGCGTGTGTGTGCGTGTGTGTGTGTGTGTGTGTGTGTGTGTGTGTGTGTGTGTGTGTGTGTGTGTGTGTGTGTGTGTTTGGTCTGCTGCATGTATATATATATATATGTATGTGTTTGTCAGTGCTAATGAGTGTTTAGCAGTGTGAGGAAGGGGCTAATTATGCATGGCCAGCGCTGTCGGTAACGATGTGACTGTTGACCGTTTGCAGAGCAGACAAACAGCGTCAGACGCCCCTGGAGATCCATTACTGCAGCCTCATTACTGCAGACCTGGCAACCCGTCTGAAGAAATGTGGGGTTTCTGGTCGTATGCATGGAATACAATAAGAAGACGATGAGGACAGATGATTTACCGGAGAAAGGGGACAGTTTGTACTAACGTAAAGAGGACTGGAACGAACTTTAGTAACTTGTTGTGGAAAAAACAAACAAAAACTAAAGCTATATCTTACAATTATTGAATTGATGTAAAACATAAGTCTCTCTTAGGTAAAAAATAAACTGAGCTTAATGCCTTGTGGTTAATCTTTAAAAATGATCATTAAGGGTTATTACGTGGCCCTGAAGTGCAAGACACCACAGCATTTCACATTGGACGAAAGGGTATTCCTTTAGGGAGAACACTTCTTGTTTGTGATTGGACAGAGCCAGCCAGAGAAGCACTGCTGTGATTGGTTGTTTTAGCTGCCAGTCAAGAAATGACCCTTCCTGATTGGTCAACACCCGACAGCGGAATATGTCCCAACGTGGTCCCAACACATCAGCCGTTAGCACACACTCAGAGCTCACAGCTCCTCATATCTGTTCAGAAACTGGACAAAAGTTAAACAAGTACAAACCACAGACTGTCTGTGTCATGGCGAATACAGTCGCTGCTTTATTTATGTCTGTATGACGTTGTTGTGAGTGTGGATGGAGCAGCTACAGGTTAGTTTAGCCTGGTGGATCCGATTCCATTCAGAAAACACGCATTTTAAAAGCTTTTCGCCTGCTGTCTGTCTGCAGACTTGTTAAAGCGTTAATTCATGGGTTTTACTAACCGTTATCAGTATGTTGTTACTTCGGCATCACTTTGAAACGTGTATTACAATTAAATCACGGTCAAATATGTTCATTTGGTTGTAGTTGGTATCTCCCATAGGATTTACATGGAGATACGCCCCGCCCCCTCTCAGCGCGACTTGTTTGAATGACAGGAGCAAACACAGCTGACTGCGGTTGTGTTTTCTGAAATGCTGTGGCGTTTTAACTTTAGTAACTTGTTGTGGATAAAAACTAACCAAAGCTATATCTTAGAATATACATTATTTATTTAATAGAACTACGAATACGTCTCTCTTAAATAAATACACATATGGAGCTTTATGTCTTTTGGTTCATCTTAAAACATTTACCATACAGGGTTATAGTCAATCGATTGTAACCTGACTTGTCATTTATTGTAACTTTTTTGATAATGTATAATAATTTTAGCCCCCGTACGTAAATGCATACCTTGATGCATGACATACATTTTTCTTTTTAAAGTTTTGTAGTTATTTTCCATCAGATTTGAGGTTTTTGACCCAAAATTAAGGGCTTTTTTTAAAAATAAGATACTGTATGCTTTTTTCTCTTCCACTTGTACTAGCTTTGTTTTCATACACCTTCAGTGTATTGAAATAGTTGGACAACTAATACCTTGGATAGTGAACACAAACAGAAACCTGCCTCTACACACATGACTAACTCTTTATAATATACTGTATGTCCATAGACTTGAAATCAAAAGTAATGTGGCTGATTTAAATGTGGTATTGGTTTGGTTTCTAAAATGTAGAAAGGTATATCTACTTATCAAGTAGTTTATACCGTAATGTAGGCACATTTGCAAACATGCAATAATCACTTGTGCAGATCTGTGTCAAACCTTAGTGAGATCTCTAGGTAAGGATAAATAAAGCTCTTGTATAGTGTGTTACTGCCAGAATTAAAGACGATACAAATCTGTGCAAACCGTCTGAAAACTTAAACCCTGAATCAGTTGTACCCACGTGTGTATCTTCATCCATGTCCTTACAACAGTTATTGCAAGTTACTTTAAACCATGTGATGCTCTCCTGAACCCAAGGTCCCTTTGGTCATACATCCACAAACTACAAGCAGTTCTAGATAATCAATACTTGGAGGACATTAGGCTATTATCATGTGTCACACGCACACACACACATACCATGTATACATCACTTCAGGGGACATTACATTGACTTACATGCATTTCCTGGAGACTTATCCTAACATTAACCATAAC